TCTGTAAGCAGGGCAATAAAGATTAGGCTAGAAACAACACCAGAATGTTTCCTTCCTGACTTCCTTACAGGATTAGCCCTGTCAATTAGCCACAAAATGAGATTTCTTCCAACAACCAGTTCTCCGAATTGCTTCGAAAATTAACAACCGGTTCTCCTGAATAGGTGCGAACTGGCTGAATCCCACCACTGGTCCAGCCCCTTTACTAATTTTGGTTGCCCTCTTTTAGACTTTTTCCAGCACTGCTTTATCCTGCAACCAAAACTGTACATCAAGTCCTAGAGATAGATATAGCACAGATGTTATAACAGCACCTGTGATCTTGGTGGTTTGATTCTCAATCCCTTTCTTAGGATGGGCTTCACAGATTTCACACATGCTGCATATAAAGTGGTCATTATGAGATTGCAGCAGGAGACAAATTGAATCAGTCAATCTTCAGTTGTGTTCTAATTATATTTCCATTAAATGTTTTCATAAATTATTTTGTACGCATCAAGAGATTTGAAATAGTAATGACTACACTGCAGCAAACTACGATTGGTTTCATATTACTCATCAAACAAGTGAAAGCATTGACTTTGCTTGTGGTGACCCTTTGAGAGCTGTATGCAATGAAATTTCATTTTATTGTATGCTGATTAGTGTACATTCAAAGCAGTGGTGGGTTCTGGATCCTGTTGCAACCCGTACGGTGCAACGGGGCCCAGCGGCCACCACATGAATGTGCGCAGCACACATGCACATGGATGCAGCGCGTGCATGCAGCCTTACCTTCTGCGATGCCTCCGCGACACTCCAGCTGCTCAGCGGAGCATTGTGCAGGCGCCGCACGCTGCATGCGCATGCGCGGAAGCACCAAAGAGCTCAAATACAGGTAAGGAGGCAGGTGGGTGGGTGGGTCCACTGGAGCACCATACCAGAACGGTACCCGGTGCTCCTGGCAGGCACTGGTACGCCTGTACTGGGGCATACCGCCTGCAACCCACCACTGATTCAAAGTAATGATAAAGTTATTTTAAGTCTATGAAGCCAGCTAGGAAGGTGCTGTAGCCCATTGGCTGTAAGCAGAGCTAGCTGCCAAGTCAGACGGGGAGGTGGAGGGAGAGCCTGGGCCAGCTCTGGAGCCTTTGGAAGGCTCTGATAAGGAAATAGCATCAGAGACAGGAACAGAGCCGGGGTCTTCCCTCCTCCCCCAGGTGGAGAGGCAGCTGTCTTCAGGGCCTGAGCTGAGTGAGGGGGAGAAACAGATGGGCCTATTCCAGATGCAAGTATGCACAGAGCGGAAAAGAGAGGAGAACAAAGGAAAGTAATAAGCCTACTCTCAGGGAGAGGCAGACACAGACAATAGCCAGTCCCTCCCTGGTGGAAAATATATAGGAGGGGTTTGGGAGTGGCCAGTTGTCGCAGGCAACCGTTCCTTTCTAGTATACAGCAAGCAATTCAGATTTCTTGGCTAAAACCAGGTTGTTGGGACTAATTACCGTATTTTTCGGCCTATAAGATGCACCGGTGTATAAGATGCACCAAGATTTCAAAGAGGTAAGTAAGAAAAAAATGTTTTTGTCCCTCTCTGCCCCTAGAAGCACGCTGCAGACTTCAGCAGGGCTGGGGTAAGGCAAAAACAGCCCTGTTTTTCACCGAAATGGGGGCATTTTTCCTCTTTTTTTGGGGGGGGGGGAAGGGGCATCTTATACTCCAAAAAATACGGTGCTTTTGATTTTTTTGTTTATCCCTGTGAATAAAAGACTGTTACTGCCCTGTTACAAAAAGGGGTTGTTTTACTCACGAGTAAATATCTTAATACATGCTCATTGCCAAGAACCCAAATTTTGCATGAGTATGGGGATGCTATGACTATGTAAATGGAAGGATTACTTTTTTGTCAGTGCCAATATAACTTCGAACAGTTGCTAAACAAATGGTGGTAAGTCAAGGATATTTGTACAGGTAGTCCTTGACCTACCACAGTTCACGTAATGATCGTTCAAAGTTACAATGGCACTAAAAAAGTGAGTTATGACCTTTTTTTCACTCTTTACAACATCCCCATGCTCGAGTGATCCAAATTCAGATGCTTGGCAACTGACTCCTATGTATGATGGTTGCAGTGTCCTGGGGTCATGTGGTTCCCCTTTGCGACCTCCTAACAAGCAAAGTCAATGAGATAGCCAGACTCACTTACCAGTTTAAGAACTGCAGCGATTCGCTTAACAACTGTGGCAAGAAAGGTCATAAGATGGGACAAAGTTTGCTTAACAAATGTGGCACTTAGCAACAAAAGAATCGGATTCAATTATGGATGTAAGTCAAGGACTTCCTGTGTAAGTTTCCATTTTTAAATTGTACCTTTAATTATAGGGCCCCCTAGCTCTTATATCCCAGATTTTTTCTAGAGATATTGACATCCTTTTTCTGGGTTATTGCAGGTGGAGCGTGAGAAAGCTATTCTGCTGGCTAATCTTCAGGAATCCCAGACCCAGCTGGAGCACACCAAAGGGGCCCTCACCGAACAGCATGAACGCGTCCATAGGCTCACCGAACATGTCAACGCAATGAGGGGTCTGCAAAGCCACAAAGAGCTGAAAGAGGTCGATTTTGAGAAAGGCCGAGATTCTGGGGAGGAAACCCACGATTATGAAGTGGACATCAACGGCTTGGAGATCCTAGAGTGTAAATACAAGGTAGCCGTTACCGAGGTGATTGACCTCAAAGCTGAAATCAAAGCCTTAAAAGAGAAGTACAATAAGTGCGTTGAAAACTACACCGAGGAAAAGGACAAGTATGAGAGCAAGATCCAGATCTACGACGAGCAGGTCTCCAGCTTGGAAAAGTCAACGAAGGAAAGCCACGAGAAAATGGTGCAGATGGAAAAGGAGGTGCAAAGGATTACAGGCGTTGCCAACGAGAACCACAATACCCTCAATGCCGCTCAGGATGAGCTGGTGACTTTCAGCGAAGAGCTGGCTCAACTCTATCATCATGTCTGTCTGTGTAACAACGAGACTCCGAATAGGGTTATGCTGGATTATTACAGGCAAAGTCGAGTTACGAGAAGTGGGAGCTTGAAGGGACCTGACGATCCAAGAGGGCTGCTATCTCCACGCCTTGCCAGGAGAGGGACGGCACTCCCTGTAGAAATCAGGGTGCCAACTGAACAGGGTTCAAAAGAGAGCACAGAAGCCAATAAAGAGCCCAGCCCAACAAAGACCCCCACCATTTCTCCTGTCATTACAGCCCCTCCTTCCTCCCCGGTTTCTGACACCAGTGACATTCGGAAAGAGCCCATGAATATTTACAACCTCAATGCCATAATACGGGACCAAATCAAGCACTTGCAGAAAGCGGTAGATCGGTCATTGCAGCTGTCCCGGCAGCGTGCAGCGGCCCGTGAACTGGCACCTATGATTGATAAGGACAAGGAGGCTTTAATGGAAGAAATAATGAAATTAAAGTCCCTGCTGAGCACGAAAAGGGAACAGATAGCAACCCTCAGGGCAGTGTTGAAAGCCAACAAGCAGGTAATTTGGGGAGTGTAATTTCCTTTCTATAATGAGGTGTATAATTTATGGGTTTTAAAATGGCTTAAAGGACGATTTTACCATTGATTTTACATCTGTTATTGCTGTGTTTACTTTTAAGCTTCTTGTGAAATTAAACAGTGGGGTATTCTTAGGTTTCTTTGAAGTCCCAGAAGACAAAAAAACCCAAGTACATTTTGATAATTACTTTTCAAATCAACTTGGATTGAATTTGTATCCTTATTCTGATACTGTTAGAAAAATCTGGTCCAGTTTCAAGCTGGATCATGAAAGAAATACGGTATAGGGCAGTGATAGTTAACCTTTTCGCACCGAGTGCAAAATTGGAGTCCATGTGTGCACGGCGGACAGCTGCTGTTTTTCGGCTTCCGGTGTGCCCATGCGCGAAGACCAGCTGGCCGGAAGTGCAACTGGTGACAGCATGCATGCCCACAGAGAGGGCTCTGCATGCCACCTCTGGCACATGTGCCATAGGTTCGCCATCACATGTATAGGGTTTCCTGCTTGAGCGGGGGCTGGACTAGAAAACCTTGAAAGTCCATTCCAGCTCTATTCTGATTGATTGAAATGCACTGGATGAGGCTGCTTGAAAAGAAAGTACAGGTATTCCTCAGCTTACAACCACAAATGAGTCCAAAATTTCTGTTGCCAAGTAAAACATTTGTTAAGTGAACCTTGCCCCATTTACCACTTTTATTGTCACAGTTAAGTGAATCACTGCAATTGCTCAGTTAATAACATGGTTGTTAAGTGAATCTGGCTTCCCCATTGACTTTGCTTGTCAGAAAGTCTCAAAAAGATGATCCCATGACCCCGGGGACACTGTATACATATGAGTCAGTTGCAAGCATCTGAATTTTGATCACGTTACCATGGGGATGCTGCAATGGTCAGGAGTGTGAAGAGAGGTCGTAATTCACTTTTTTCAGTGTGACTTTGAATGGCCACTAAATGAACCGTAAATTGAGGTCTACCTGTAGCATATTTGGTAGCATAGAGTTCAGCAATTGAGGTAGCTACGAATTTGGGGTGTTGAGACTACTCATGTGATAGGAATGTTGCAGCAGATTGAGGTTTGTAATCTACTTACGAAAGACCAGGACTTGAGACCACGAAGGTGAGAGAAACAGG